CAGGTGCTCGCGCTGTGTCTCTTGGAGGTACGTTGAGAGGGCGCGCGGGTTCTCTTTGAAGCCGTAACTGCAAGGGGACAAAAAGCGTCGTCAAAATCCGTGTGGTTTAAAAAGAACACAGCAGTGTACAATTCAGGCCAACTGCTTACTCAGTGTAGTACGCGCCGTAAGCGCCAGTGGGCGGCAGGTCTGGTAACCCCTCCTTCACCAGAAACCAACACAGCAGGACGAACATCGCTATGGGTGCGTCGGCCTTACAGACAAAGTGCGCGATGTGGAGGAGCCGAATGATGTGACGAGTGGAAGCGTCCGTGCCCTGCCATCGTGTGATAGTGACCTGCTTCGCCTTCTCCGCCTCCGCCTTCTCTTGATTCTCCAACGCCTGCCTGTGTGCACGGGAGGAGGTGTGAGTGCGGATGCTGCCAATCTGGAGGTCCCGAGCACCCTCACCCTTTGCACCGTACGCGGTGTGCGCTAGTGGATCTCCATGCTTCACACAAATCGCACACTTCAAAGACGGACGACCGTTAGACATGCGGAGCAAACGTAACCACTTGAAGCTACCTGCCCACTGACCCTCAAAGGTCTTCTTAACCGATTCATACTCAGCATCTGCCAGAGCGGTGGGTGGCTTCGGATCGGCCGAAGGAGCAGGGCGCTTGTGGGAAGTAGCGTTTCGGGGAGGAGGGGCGCCCCAGAGCGTCTGCTGCTTGTATGTAGCTCCCACCCGCGGTCGCTTGACGGGCGCGGTGCTGATCGTCGATGGCGAAGCCGTAGGCGTCTTTGACGAGCCCACGCCACCTCCGGGAACTAATTCTATGTCAGGATGTGGCTCCCACGCCGTGGGTGAGTCTGGCGGCTCGAACGGATAAACAGTCCCTACCACATACTCTGGTGACGGCTCACGAGGCGGCGGCTGAGCGATGGGCACGGCGTAATTCTCGCTAAGGCGTGGTAAAACGCCCAGCACAGAGAGTCCGTTTCTCGCGCCATCAGGTGGCTCGGGCTCTCCTGTGGGCATTGTGGAGCTGAAAGTTGAGAATGGTTGAGAATGAGGGCCAAGCGACGGACCCCCTCGTAGAGAACGGGCCTCTGGCTAACTCTCTAGGGCCGTTTCATGCATGCGGCGGGGAGTGTAAGGCCAGCAAGGCAGGACAGCTCCTGCAATTTGATGTTAAGGACAGCTTGAAGCTGTCTTTGACAACAAATTCGGCTGTGTTGGCGGTGGGCGTGGCGACGGATGGCAAGATTCGAGAATGAGTTGGCAGTCCTGCGGAGAGAAACAACAAATGTTACAACATGGCGCGTTGCCGACAGCGTGGCAAGGTTTTTAACGCGTGCTCACAAGGGACAACCGGTGTTTGTGGGGGTGTGGTTCATTTTGGCGCCGGGCGGAGTGTGGTCTGATTCGCGTTACGTAAGATTCGGTAATAGGGTAGCATACACCCTACCCTGATTCCGTCAGGCCAACACAAAATCCTATCAGGGTGGAACAAAACATGCACTTTTTAGAGAAGGGTAACTAACCAGCATTCCTGATTTCAGCAGGGTAATCCAGAAAAAGGGACAGGCCCCCAGGGTAATCAGGGCGTTTTAACCTGATATTTTGGGCCCTGATTGGGACCCACCCCCTATGATTGGACAGAATTTGAGGCAGAGAAAGGGGGTGGCGTGTGATATTGCCACAGCAATGAAGGCTGCAATGAAAATGGAGAATAAGCATGACTGTTTGACCAATCATTCACTGTACACACACAGGTCATGAGGGTAATAGATTCATTGAAACGGAGAGCTCCTGCAAAGGGACACGCCCCAGCTGTTGCTAGCCATGCTGTGATGCATTGCTGGTGAAATGATTTTGTTGCAACATGGGAGAGTGACTGCAGATTCCCCAACGACCATTTCAGAAAGGCAGACAATACACCTGGTGCACAGGTGAGAGTACATACACACCAGAGGGAGCAGCAGGGAAGGTGGTAAGGAAAAGGGAGGAGCATATTTATGCTGAGGGAAAGATGGACAGGAAACGGGAGGCAGGGGGCAGGCCCTATGATAGCAGATGTAGATGAAATGGTGGTTTGAGATTGTGGGCCGAAATATCAAGGGTGGGCACATACACACTTACTCTTGTTTCTCTTCTTGCTCTGCTGCAATGGGGTTCGTAACAAGCTGCGCTAGCTGTTGGGTGCTTGCTCCCTTTTTCACCAGCTTCCCTGACCTGGCTGACGCTTCTTGCCCCTGCAACAGTAAGCCATGGGAGTAAAGAAAGGATAAAAAAGTGGATCAAGCAAGGTGGTTACCAGATTCCAGGTGTCAGCTACGATGTTCTCAAGGACTGTCGAGTGTGCAGGCATACATTGAAAGCAACAGTGCGCAGAGTTTAGGCCTCCTTTACGGAGCCAGTCTCGACATCAACTGCTGCATCCGTCACAGAGACTCAAAAAAAATTTGCGTACCTCAAACTTGAGAGTGTCGAATCATGATTTGTGTCAACTAACACAAGCCTGCATACCTCATTTGTAGAAGCAGTCTCCACATCAACTGTTGCATTTGTATCTGCTGCTCCCGAAGATTGAGTGGAAGTAGCCCGTCCGGCCGAGGCTGAATGATCAGAGTCCAGACCAAACGGGTGGAGGAATGGCAGTGTGACGAGGAGGCGCCAGGGCGACACATGGCGCGTTCTCGTCCACACGATCCAAACCACAGCAAGCCGGAAAATAATCAGGCCGATGAGGCCACCAATCACAACCAAAAGGGCCGATATGGTCAGAGCTCGGAGAAGAGTTGCAGAATCAAACAAATCTGATTCAAAAGAAGTGGTGGTATTAGGAAAGGAGGAGGATGGCAGTGGTGATGTGATCTCCGGGGCAAAGACGAGTATGGGAACGGAGAAGGGAGGGGGAGGAGAGGCAGGGAAGGGGCTGTTGCTGAGGGAGGAGAGATGCCGACGGATAGGCATTGCTGGCAGCTGAGACAAATGGAAGCTGATTTTAAAGTGAGAAGGCTGACAATCTTGATGAGTTGCGACCATAATGGAGAAAAGTAGTGAAATTCTGAGAAACTGAAGGATCGATGCATGCACGGATCTATGCTGGAAGTTGATGACGCAGCTGCACAGCGGATTCGTTGAGCAGAAACAGCGCACTCAGGCTCGTCAACAGCTGTTGATTATCTTGGTTTTTGCCTTGTCATGTGCACCGCCGTTCCTTGGTCTCCGTGGACGCACATTGGCATTGTAGTACAATCCAAGCCAAGTGCAACCAAGAACTTTAACAATGAAATCTGAGGACTGCGGTAGTAGGGAATCAGTTGCTCAGTAACTAGAGCTCACGTAAGAACCCGTGGCTAGAGCACACCCGGTAACTCGGTAACGTCAGTTAATCTGATACATGTAAGTCCCCCCACCAGATTTCGTGCCTCCTTTCGATCACGCCAAGAGTGACAGGAGTGAGAAAGGCAAGACCAAGGCCGAGTTGCCTAACGCACCACGCAGTTACTCTGCAGTTTTGCCAGTTTCTTGTCTCAGACGAAAGGCTTCAATCGTCTCAGGCAAATTCTCTTCTATGTGCAAATAAGAGGAAGATCCATCGACGATTTGAGAGCTGCGAAACCTGACAGTCCCCGTCGTCAATCAGGGAGCGTTAGACACGGGATGGAGGAAGAAGAGGCGAGGCGTGGGTAAGCTTTTGAGCCGACTCAAAATCAGCTGCAAAACCTGACAGTTAAACGCCGTCAATCAGAGCGTTGGACACGAGGATGGAGGAACGAGGTGGGACGTGGGTAAGCTCGCACAGAAATTGCGACGATGTGACGCATGACGCGGACAGGGCGTAAGCATCATTTTTTTCTCTAGCAAGTCTCGAAAGCAGCGATGCTTGAGACTCCAACGCTCGTTTCCACGATTCATCATCCCAAAGAGGCCTCAGACAGACAACTTCCTGTTATCCCTTTCAGTCGACTAGCATCGATAGGTGACAGCGACGGTGACGGCGAGGTTTTCGAGAAGAGAGTCTAATCGTTGACTGCTCGTAGTCAGCTAAAGCTAGTTAGATTGACTGGTGCGTTGCGTGCTCTTCAATGCATGGAGCTTAGTTAGATTGACTGGTGCGTTGCGTGCTCTTCAATGCATGGAGCTTGTCGCTGTCTAATTGGGATTGTGAATGACTGCCATGGCTTATGTCCCCCTGGAGTCCGATTTCCTTCGAAACTTGGTTGAAGGTCTCTCCCGTCAATCCCTACCCCATGATGTGAGACTTAACTTCGCGGTTCAGAAAGGTTTGTTGCGCTCCAAACAGGCTTGCTTTTTAATATCAACGGCTGGGAACGGTTCCGAGTGTACCAGACTTCGATAAAGCGAGAGTCAGTAATGGCGGAATTAAAAAAACATATCTACACTAACCAGCTTACAACAGAATCCATTTTAGTGTGGGGAAGTAGCACATGGTTGTGGCCATCCCTTTTCTGAGAACATGCTTGAAGTGTGCATGGCCACCTAACCTGGTATCCTTTTCTCCATCAACATACAACTATGCATAATTGGACTGAGTCTGAGGGTAAAACCCATTCACGGTGAAAGCACCGTGAACCGTCACCAGTTAACCCGACCGACCTAAGGAAGCATCTGGCAGGCACACTAATGCCACAGCTGCTGCTGTCTCCTCCTGAGGCTCCGTTTTCTAGGCATCACCTCAACACACAGTTCCACCAATCCCTGTCCATCTTTTGTTTTCGTGTTAAGTTTTTTGTAAGCATGGTTGTAGGCTGAACCCAGCTATGCATCATCTCATCAGTTCGAGGGTAAAACCCATTGACAGTGAAAGCACCATCAACAGCCAGCACTTGCCCCGACACATAGGAAGCAGCGGGCATGCACATGAACGCCACAGCTGCTGCTGCCTCCTGCGGCTCCCTCTTGAGACACCACCACCACCACAACCACGCCACATGGTTTCACCTATTCCTGATCTGATTTTCGTCACTCTTATTAGCAGCCTTGCAGCCTATGCATCATCAGTCCGAGGATAGAATCCATTAACTGTGAAAGCACCATCCACAGCCAGCACTTGCCCCGACACATAGGAAGCAGCCGGCAGGCACATGAACGCCACAGCTGCTGCTGCTTCCTGAGGCTCCCCCACTCTCCTCATGGGTGTTCGACTGATGACGTCAGCAGAGAACGCTTCGTCCTTGAGCACCTGAGTGGGAAGGGGACCATGTTGAGAGGTTTAAATGCTAATGGTGAGTCAACTTGAGACACATCCTTGAGACACGTATGAAGCAGCAGGCATGCACATGAACGCCACAGCTGCTGCTGCCTCCCAAGGCTCCCCCACCCTCCGCATGGGTGTTCGGCTGACGTCATCAGCAGAAAACGCCTCATCCTTGAGCACCTGGGAATAACGATTGGAGCACGAGTAGTAATGGGGCATGATGTGGTATGCAAGAAAGAGTGGTCCTGTATTTGCCATTGCCTCCTGCGGCTCCCCCACCCTCCGCATCGGCGTTCGACTGATGACGTCAGCAGAGAACGTCTCGTCCTTGAGCACCGGTGGGTGGGGATGATGATGAGAGGAGAGGACCAATTGTTGTTTCAAAAGGATATCGAGAGTCAACTGGTGAACCGAGTCATCCCCGAGACACATAGGAAGCAGCAGGCATGCACATGAACACCACAGCTGCTGCTGCCTCCCAAGGCTCCCCCACCCTCCTCATGGGCGTCCGACTGATGAAGTCAGCAGAGAACGCCTCATCCTTGAGCACCTGGGGAAGCAAATGAATTGAAAGAAAACAAAGGCATGGGTTGGGGCTTGGTTGCCCCCTGAGGCTCCCCCACCCTGCGCATGGGTGTTCGAATGATGACGTCAGCAGAGAACGCCTGGTCCTTGAGCACCTGGGGAGAGTGGTTCGGGAAAAAAAGCAAACACTATTCGTCAAGTGTGGATTCTCATTGGCCGATGCAATAGGGAGGGGTGGGGAAGGAGGAACTGGGACTGGGGGAAAGATAACAGGGGGAACTGGTTGGCCTAGTGGAAGGGGGAGGGGCAGGCAGGCACACGAACGCCACAGCAGCTGCTGCCTCCTGAGGCTCCCCCAACCTCCTCATCGACGTCACACATCAGCAGAAAAGCGTTCATCCTTGAAGACTTTTGAGAGTTCTCAAAAGTGAGTCGAGTTCTGAGTCAACTCAAAACTCGACTCATTACACGTCAGACATCAGCAGAAAAGCGTTCACCCTTGAACACTTTTGAGAATTCTCAAAAGTGACTCCCACCCTTGCCATCGGCGTCAGACATCGGCAGAAAATGCTTGGTCTGTTGCCATGTACCAGGGCGCCACTGCATTCACCCGGATGCCATCCTTCCTTGACCCACTGAGCAGCTAGAGGTGCGATTGAATGGGTGGCACTTATATGTGGTTACCAGGTTACCCTCATTACCTGGTTGGCGAGGTCTGTTGCCATGTACCATGGCGCCACTGCATTCACTCGGATGCCCTCCTTGCTTGACCAATTCACATGCAAGGTTCTTTTGTGCCCATTCGACAGCAAAGTGTGACAGAATGCGTGGGGAGTCAAGAGAGGTTGCTTATAATGAAGGGTACCACACAGGATGGGAGAAAGGAATGGGGGAATGTAGTCACCTGGTTGGCGAGGTCTGTTGCCATGTACCACGGCGCCACTGCATTCACCCGGATGCCATCCTTGGCCCATTCACACGCCAGGTTCTTGGTGAGCTGGTTCATAGCGGCTGCAAGTGAGACATGGTGGAAGAGAGGGCATGGTTCGGGTCAAGAAGTAGTCAAGAGACACAGTTGTCACTGTGTTTACTCTCTAACGACGCATCCCCTTCCCCCCCATGCCATCCTGCGATCGATCCTGCGCAGGATCAATTTCTGCCACGGTTAGAAACGGTTTTGGTAGTTGTAAATGTAGCAAGCAGGATTTTAGTGCAGTGGAAGATCGATCTTGCACGATCAATCGCAGGATCGGGGGGAGGAGACGCGTCCTAATGCCATCCTTGGCCCACTCGCACGCCATGTTCTTCGTCCTTGGTTCATGGCGGCTGCAAGTGAGACATGGTGAGGGCAGGAAGAGAGGGAGTTGGGGGGGTCAAAAGAGGTCGTGAGGCCGCTGCATTCACTCTGATGGCATCCATGGCTCATTTTCAGTAGGGGTGCGTAAGGCCAGAGGCCAGAATCATATATCGGGATGCTATCGTTGGCCCATTCACATGTCAGGTTGGGAGAGTTGGCAGGGGTGGTAGGGGGTTTAAAAAAATTACCAGTAGCAGCAGCACCAGAAGCAGAGTTACCGCTTTCAGTCGAGTGGCTGACTCACCCTTGGTGGCGTCGTAGAGAGTGCCTGAGCGAATAGCAACGACCCCAGCTACAGACGAGTTGAACACAATGCTCGCATTGCTCTGATATCAGATCTAGCACCGGCACTATCAGCAGCAGCAGCAACAACACCACTATTACTAGGAAGGGAGACTCACCCTTAGTGGCGCCGTAGAGAGTGCCTGACCGAATAGCAACGACCCCGGCAACAGACGAGTTGAACACAATGCTCACATTGCCCTTGGCTGTACCATCAGTAGCACCAGCGCTGGCAGCGGCTTTAAGCAGAGGGTGTGCGAGTTGGCAGAGGTGGTAGGCGGACTCAAAATTGGTGCCCCACACGTGGTGGAAGTCGGATAGGGAGTACTCCACTGTGGGCTTGCGAATGTTAGTGCCCACGTTGTTGATCTGCGGGTGTTAGGAAGGATGCCAGGATGCAGTAGGGAATGAGAACGGGGATAGTAAGGGTTGGCAGGGGTGGTAGGCGGATTCAAAGTTGGTGCCCCACACGTGGTGGAAGTCTGAAAGGGAATAGTCGACTGTGGGCTTCTGACTGTTAGTCCCCACGTTGTTGACCTGCACAGGGAGGAGGAGGGAAGGGGGAAGGATGGGAATGGTCATGGGAATAAGAGCGAGTTGGAAAAGGTGGTAGGCGGATTCAAAGTTGGTGCACCACACGTGGTGAAAGTCAGCTAGAGAGTAGTCAATCAAAGAGGAGGAGGGATCTTGCTAGTTCTGAGCTTGCAACAGAAGAACATGTGCCCGCATACTCATAGCTCTTCATCCCGTAAACTCTCATTCACAAGTAATCTCCTCTTTTGACGTTGGTGAGAAGAGGGAAGGCATAAACGCCACCTTTTGGTGAGAGGTGGGTTGGAGCAGAAGCAGCATCAACAACGCCTCTGATGCTCCCGCGCAGCCCTCTCTGCCCCGAATGCGCATTCTGCATCGGGAGACAATAGGCATCCCACCTGGCGCACGGATGCCTTCCCAGCCCCAATCATTGCCCGAGAGGGTGCCGCTCCAACAGGCAACTGTGGGGGCATCCCCTTGCTGCACTGTAGCTTCGCTACTGTAGCTTCGCTACTGTAGCTGCCATCACACGACCACCCCGTCCCACCTTCCGCCTAATACAGGGGTTTGGGAAAATATCCCACCGCCAACTGATCAGGTGCACTGACTGATAAACCGCCCGCAAACAACCGCCGGCCTACGTACCAGGTGGTTCAGTTTCCCGCCAAAAGCCTCTGACACCTTCGTTATAAGCACCTCCCGCTGCTCCGGCTCCTTGACATCGCACGCCCACCCCGTCGCCGCCCACCCCTGCGACTGTAGCTCCGCCACTGTAGCTGCCACGTCAGCCTCGCCACGTGAGCATACAAACACGTGCGCGCCTAAAGATGCTAGCTCGTTTGCAATAGCACGACTGATGAAGAGGGGAGGCACGCGGAAGGAAGGGGGGGGGGGAGGACAGGGGGATGGGAGGGGGGGGAGGGAGAGGACAGGGGGATGGGAGGGGGGGGGAGGGAGAGGACAGGGGGATGGGAGGGGGGGGGGGGAGGGTAAGGAGGGTGGATAAGGAGGGTGTTGTGTGGGTTTGGGTCAGACTCGAGAGTCAGCCTTGCCACGTGGGCACACAAACACGTGCGCGCCCAGAGATACGAGTCCCCGTGAGATAACGGGACTGATGGGGGAAAGGGAGGCGGAATGTGGGGAAGGGGGGGGGGGGGGGGAGAGGGTGGAGAAAGGAGGGGGGAAGGGAGAGGGGGGAAAGGTGGGAAGGAGATGAATGGGACGGTGGCAAGAATGAACAGGGTACGCTTTTAAGCCAGAATCAAACCCAAAGGATCCAGTGGAAGGGACGGATTCCGTCACGAGGGTGTGAAGCGGGCGAAATTCTTCACGAGGGAGTGAATTGATCGGACGGATTCCGTCATGAGAGTGCGAAATGGACGGATTCCGTCACGAGGGTGTCAAGATGACAGAAAGAATGAAACGAGAGCCTAGATATCATCGTGTCGTGTGGTTACCCGATGCCTTTGGTCGCGCCCGTTACAAGAGCCGTCTGGCCGTCAAGTCTCCATCGAGAGCCGCCGCCCATAATGGATTCAGGCGAGAATTGACGAATTGTAAACGCACGTGAAGATTAGGCACTTCTGTAACGGCTGACGCACTGGGAAGCAGCAGCCGTCACTGCTGCATTCAGGATTGGAACGACCCACTGCTATTTATCTTCTCTTGCAAGCGAGATTCGTGTCGGTAGAGCCCGACTGCTCGTTGTCAAATAACTTCTATGTAGGGATTTTCAGGAAGGCTCAATTTGGTAGGGTTGTGAACGCTTTCACGTGTTTCAGAACCCTAAAGGGGGTTTCCAGCTCGTTCATTTACTGTTCTTAAAGCCCTTCGGTTACCACATATTGCGTTGTAACACTGAGTTTTACAAAAATGCCAGACACGATCAGCTCCCGTTCACGATACGGCACACCCCCTGTACTTACCTCGAATCGTGTGACGCACGTTAAAGGAATCAGCGTGCGCATCGAACAATGGTACAGAACCGCGTCCTGCCCACTACAGTGAGTGCCCATCGTATCGCGCGCTTGATTTCGCATGTGTCGCCTGACACTCGCCAAAACCTATAGTGGAAGTGTTGGCCTGGCGAAAATTCTTACGCTTTGGTTGACGAGGGAACTGGTTACCTTGGTTGCCACGACGGCCCCCTGCACTGTTGAAGTCTGTTTGGGGGATGTGTCCGCGCGCCAGAATGACAGAAAGGGTGGACTCGAGCAAGTCGCGTTCGTTTATAGGTACAGTTTTCAGTTTTGAACCCCGGATCGTGAGGGACACAAGATTTCCCGAAATGAACGAGCTGGACACGCCCTAAACCCGTCCTCTGCAATCCCAGGTTTGAGGGGGTGTCCAGCGCGTTCATTTACCGTTCATAAGTCCTATCAGTTACCACATTTGGAGTTGTAACACTGCATTTTACTGAAAGGGTGGACATGACCAACATTGTACATGAGACGACACGCCAGCTTCACGTACCTCGAGTTGTGTGACTCACGGTACTGCATACAGCGTGCGCGCGAACTCGGGTACAGTATCGCGTCCAAACAGCTACAGCAAGTGCCCCCCTGTATTGCTCGCAATAATTTGCCAGTGCCCGCGCGACTCTCGCCGAAACCACCTGCGCGCTGGCAGCACACATTGCGCATGTGCGAAAAAGCCAACCCTACTGTTCACGAGGGAGCCGGCTACCTCGGTTTTCCAGGCTGTTTTCGCAGTGTTGATCTTTGTGTGGGTGGAAATGTTTCCGCGCGCTGGAAATTCCAGAAACTGTGGACTTCGGCTCAGTTTGTCATTCGTTTTGAGGTACAGTGGTCAGTCTTGAGCCCTGAGACGTGTGTGGGCTCTAAAAATCCCGAAATGAACGCGCTGGACACGCCCTGAGGCTCCCTCTCGCTTCAAACGAGGATGCGAGCAAACGCAACCAAGCAGAGCAAAATTCCGTTTTCGTTACCACTTCTCACGGATCTCAAGACCCTATCCAGACGTTCTAATCCACTCGAATAACCTTCTGTAACACTAAGAACCCTATGAAACCGCATTCACAGTTGCATTCAAAGCATCTCAAGATGGTTTGTTCGGGTGGAAGGGAGTGCTACCCTCCACCATGGATATGAACTTGCCTTGCTTGCTGCACAGCACACAACTTTCAGTTGCGTTGAGCAGCAGAATGATCAAAGCATGTGCTTCTGCTGCTGCATAGACCAGACCGGAACCGCGTTTTGACGATTTTCAAAGGTCAGTCTAGAGTTTTCAGAAGCGTTTTAAACAGGTCTCTAGCAGCGCGCTTCGCCTCGCTACTACACACTGCATAGGCCCGAGACCGCGTTTTGACGATACTCGAGGGCCTGTCTGTAGAGGTCTCACACGTGTTTCAACAGGTCTTTCGCAGCGCGCTTCGCCTCGCTCTTACACACTCCGAACGTCAGTTTGTGGAAAGTTTTCTCATTGCGTTTGGTTTCACGCCGCGTAATTCTTCCTATCTCCGCTCGAAGATCGAACCGCGATCATCATTATCACAATCTCCAAACGCGCAGCGAAAAAAGGGAATAATCTCTGTGGACCTAGGCTCCTCGTCTTCAGTACCTCCTCCCACCCTTACGGCTAGTATAAGTGATAGCGGATTGGCTGTACCTAGTATTATCCCCGTGAAGAAGTCCGTACCGAGCTACTAACGAGCATGGCGTCGGACGGACACCCTCCGGAGAACCTAACAGACCTCTTACGCTCCCTGGAGAACTATGATCCTCTGGTGAGTGCATTGATGCGTTGTAAGCGTCTTCTTATGCCTTTTTCCTTGAGGAATCTAGAGAACTTCGACCTGCTGGTTAGTGTGTTTATGCGTTGTAAGTGTCTTCTTATGCCTTATTGCTTTAAGGCGGCTAAAAAGAAAGCTTCATTTCTGGAGAACCTACCAACGGTTTAAATCGTTCGGGAGAGCTATGATCCGTTCCAGTCGTTTTCTCCTTTTCCCCCGTTCCCATTCCTTCAGATTTCCAACGACCTGACTGACTGCAAACTATTTGCAGAGATTGGCGCCAGAAATCCCAACGTTCACGTGCGCGTTCAGGATAGTAATGACCTGTTCCCCGCTTCCTCCTTTTCCCCGTTCCCACTCCTTTCAGATTCCTGACGACCTGACTGCATACTATCTGCAAAAATCAGGCGTCAGAAACCCCAACATCCACGTGTAAGTGTATCGAATCACACAAACAACACAAATTCGTTGTTTATCAAAGGCTGTCAAGGAAGTTCAAAATTGTTTTCTATTGATTTTTCTCATGCTTATTCTATCCCTTCTCTCCCATCTCCTCCTACCCCTTCTCTTGCTCTCGTCTCCTCCGTTTCTCTCACCCATATTGGCTCTGTGCATGCATGCGTACCAGCACTCGCCTTGTATCAGCTGCGGTTCATAAGCTCATAGGAGAGATGGCCAGTGACGCTGTTTTTAATCTTTTCTCCTCCCTCCCCTCCCCCCTTACCCCTTTCCCCCCTCTGATACAAGTTCAGAGGAGCACAAGCTCATACGAGAGGTGGGCCATAAGCTGTCTCAAACTCCTCCGCTTCCTCCCTCCTCTCCCCCCCTCCGCACCCCCCCCCCCCCCCCCCCCCCCCCCCCACCCACCCACCTCGTTCTGTGCACCGCATGTCACCAGCACTCGCCTTGTGTCAGCTGCGGCTCACAAGTTCATAGGGGAGGTAGCCAGTGACGCTCTACAGTAAGTTTATGATGCGCACAGTAGGCTTATGATGTGCTACAATTAAGTTTATGTGTGCTGCAGTAGGTTTACATGATGCATTACAGTAAGTTTATAATGCGCTACAGTATAGCTTATGATGCGCGACAGTAATTTACAATGTTTTAGAGTAAGTTAATGTGCGCTACAGTAAGTTCGTGCGCATGTGCCACTCCCTTTCTCAAGCAAGTTGAATGGCATATCAATGCTGTCACACTCCTCCTCAAACCCCCCCCTCCCCTCTTTCTCTCTTTTCTCCGCATCCCTCCGTCCCTTCCTCCCCCTCTCTTCCCCCTTTTCCCCCTTTCTCTCCCCCCCCTCCCCTCGTTCTCCCCCCTTCCTCCCCCTTACCCTTTTCAGGTTCTGCAAGATCCGGCAGGCGGGCAGTGGCAAGGAGATGAAGTCGAGTGTTGGGCTGATGCTGCCCCTCAACCCTGCCCCACTGCACCCTCCCCATTCCTTCTCCCCCCTCCCCCCGTTCCCTTTCAGGTTCTGCAAGATCCGGCAGGCGGGCAGTGGAAGGAGATGAAGTCGAGTGTTGGGGCTGATGCTGCCCCTCAACCCTGCCCCACTGCACCCTCCCATTCCTTCTCCCCCCTCCCCCCGTTCCCTTTCAGGTTCTGCAAGATCCGGCAGGGCGGGCAGCGGCAAGGAGATGAAGGCGAAAGGGCCCAAGGAGAAGAAGCTTGTACTCACTACAGAGGACCTCGCTGCTGCATTGAAAGAGGTGAGTTCATACTTAATGGCAACATATAGCTTCATTGCAAGGTTGGAGTAAGGACCTGTGGTGTAGGTGTTTGGTCCTTCATGTTTACTCCCCCCACTGAAACGTGTGTTTGCTCTGTCCGCTTGCTTTTGTGTGTGTGTGTGTGTGTGTGTGTGTGTGTGTGTGTGTGTGTGTGTGTGTGTGTGTGTGTGTGTGTGTGTGTGTGTGTGTGTTTGTGTGTGTCCGTGTCTGTGTCTGTGTCTGTGTCTGTCTTTTATCGTTTCTCCATCTGTTGATGTGATATCCGTTGTCATTCTTACAGTATGGTGTGAATGTGCGGAAACAAGACTATTTTGTGGATGGACCAACTCTAGTTGTAGGGAGAACAGGCAAGCACTGATGGTGTATGTAAACACCTATACCGGGTTGCAGTTTATTAACATACTTTTATTGATCTGGTTTATGATGAGTTTTGTAGTTCGGTATTTCAAATACTGCTTGTATGCATTTGAAGTAGGAACAGTGTCAGAAATCATTGCCTTCCTGTTAATTTCCGTTCACAGCACGTAAACAGTCGCTTTTTATTGCAAGCTAACTGTATAAAGGCAGCCACACTTACGTTGTTGCGAGTCATCCTGTACTGGAATACCGGTAGCATTTCCTTCTGACAGTAGCAGACAAGAATCTATGAGCCCAGGTTGGCCGGGGGGACAGAGCAGTTTTGATAATTAGGCAGCAGAACCAAGGTATGGTGGGTAACGGAGCCGTGTGTCGTCCTTTTCCTCCAGGCATGCATGTCATTTAGCATAGAATAATCTCGCTCGAGTAGCATATGAGCATGTCAATTCGCATTTGACCATGTGATGTTTGCGTGCTGTTTCGATTTCGAGAATCTCGAACCACGCTGCACGTTCATGAACCACTTATGTCAGTTCGAGCCGTCGTCGTGACTCGTGACTCGTGATTCGTCGCGGCTGACCAGGTGTTCAATACAACCAATCGAGTTCCTGGCGACGCGATCAGCTCTGCTTCTTAGGACCCGAGTTTCGTCGTGCGACGCGTGCGACCCACGCAAGAATCCAGGCGACATAGACACTGCTGCGCGTACGCGCACGCGCACGCCGCTTCTTGGCGCTTCCCAGACCTCTCTGCTAGGTAGTTCTGTCCCCCTTCTCCCCCACTTACCCTGTTCCTCTCTCCGCCCGTACCTGCGCACTTGCCCCACTCCCGCGGCTTTTCCCAACCATTTCCGCCGAAACTTTCACCCCCTCCCTCCCCTCCCCGAGAAGTCGCTAATCAGTAATTGACTTGCTGCTGCTTTCCGGCTATCAAGCGATTATCCCAAGGCTAAGAAAAAGTACAGCACTGTATACAGACGATAATCCCAAACGGCAGGAAACAGTATAGTATTGTGCATAGATTTGGATCCAGCGTGGCACAAAGGCGACGAACGGTTGCAATGCGAGTTTGCCCTAGAGGAGTGATGGATCCAGAGTTGGAAGCATCGCCCTAAATCACGTGGCTGACTGACGCGCTGCTGCGATTGTCCGCGTCTCCGGCGTTCCAGCAAGAGCGACTGTAGCGAGCGTCGGGTGTTCGGCATAAGCGAAACAGTTCAAGGGGAATGCCGCTGCCTGTTGATTCCTCGACTGGTCCCTGGGTACGCTGAATTCGCTTTGCCATTTTGCCTCACCATTCTTAGATGTTCCGCCATTCTTAACAGCTCCGCATTCGTAGCTTCAAGATCTGTTTATACTCAAATGCTTAGCTTCAAAATTCGTTGCTTCTCACTTTGCTGTGGACTGGAACCCATGGATCATCCATTGTAAGCCCTGGAATCCATGGTTCATCAATTTTAAGCCTTGGAACCTTGTAAGGGATGCATTTCGAACCTCGAATCTCAATAAACCTTTGCGACTAATTCGTCTTTCTTAGCGTTTGAGCCGTTATTTTTTCCCTCGGTAGCTGTTGGTAGCTCTTCTATAGCCGGAGCGCCTAGAGCTTGCCATTTCATGGGCTTTCTGCAACATCACACCACAACAGCCGTAAATCTTCTGGTCCGCATCAGAGCCTATGAGTAGGCAGATTTTGCGACAGGCCTTCTTAAGAGACGCCATCTCCCTTCGGATTAGATTCCACCTTGCTGTCTCATTTGTTTCCGCTCTCGGTGTGAATGATCCTTGAATGAATCTCACAATCGGAGCTTCTCTGATTCCATTCACGTTGGTCCGAGTCTCTCTATCTATCTAATCCCCAGATTATAGCCATTTATCTGATTCCAGCCAATCCCTAAATTCTCAACCGAGCCGAACCCCGTCCATGCGGCAATGCCCTGTTCTTGTAGCTGCCATTTCTTGGACCTGTTCGTGTTGTTTGTTACGAGTCATTTTACAACACGTGGTGTTATTAATCGACTCAAAATGCGTATGTTCCTGTTGTTAATTGCCAGGTGGAGATGTGCGAGAGAGGAGTAGCACAGGAGGGTGGTGTGACAGAGGAGAGAAGAGAAGGAGGAGAGGGAGTAGATGCTGAGAAAGGGGGGGAGACAGTGGAGAAGCAACAGCAGGAGGAGAGGGAGAAGGGTGTTGAAAATGAGGCTGATATCGACGAAAATAATGGCAGTAGGGAGGAGTATTACCGTTACAATGATGGTGCTGCTGACGAGGCTGATGTGGATGATCACAATGATGATGAAGAAGATGAGGGGGAGGAGGATGCAGATGCAGACGAGGTGTTGACAGTTGACGATGCCATTGATTCCATAGGTGAGCCTCTGCTAAGAGTCGTAATAAACTCAAATATATGCAAGCAGTCCTTTCTCCTGTTGAGGAGGACGGAGATGCAGACGAGGTGTTGACGGTTGACGATGCCTTTGATTCCATAGGTGAGCTTTTTTTCAGTGCCCTAACTGTATTGAATTTGTGCCAGCTGTTGCTTTAGGGTTCGAAATCTCGCCCCAGGTGATGGGGATGGAGGATACTTTTCGAGGCGCCTCAAACGCCGCCCAAATGTTTTTGAAATACCAAAGATCGCTCCCCAAGTTGAGATTTTGCTCGATGTCATTCCATGCTCCAGTAACCTTTCCGCGCGTTTCCTCTCTGTCTCACCACCTGTCCTCTCCCCTCTCACTCATTCCCTTCCTCTTTCCCTCTTCCCCTCCTCCCCTCCTTAACCCCCACCAGGATTCGGACCCTACCAGCTCTTCCTCGTGTGTTACACTGGCCTTGCATGACTCATAGAGAGTTTATAAGTTACCCCCCCATCCTCTTCCCCTCACCAGGATCCGGACCTTACCAGCTCTTCCTCGTGTGACACTGGCCTCGCCTGGCTAGCTGACGCCATGGATGGAGATACTCTTTCCTTCATTTCACTCTCTCCCCTCTCTCCCTTCACCAGGCTTCGGCCCTTACCAGCTCTTCCTTCCTCGTGTGCTACACTGGCCTCGCATGGCTTGCTGATGCCATGAAGATGCTCCTTCCTACTCTCTCTCTCTCTCTCTCTCTCTATCTCTCTCTCTCTCTCTCTCTCTCTCTCTCTCTCTCTCTCTCTCCTCTCTCTCTCTCTCTCTCGAACGGACCTTCGTATTAATAGCATCAAGGTACAGTCATTGGTACTAAGCTAGTCTAAGCAATCAACCGGCAATCAAGCAAGTCAACAACCAAACAAACAAGCAAGCAAACAAACAAACAAACAAACAAGCAAACACACCAAGGTACCACTGCTCATCCCTCCCCTACCCCCTCTCCCCACGGCCCTACTGGCCTGTGGGGTCTTCCAGCAGCTGGTACAGCTGCTCCTCCCCCAAGCTGCCAAACGGGCCTTGCAGGCCAAGCTCATCCGCGGCAATGGCCTTGTGGGTCTTGTCGCGAAGGGCATTGGCCTGGGCGCGCTGGAGAGTCACACTCCAGCGCTGACGGTACTCCGTGAGGAGCCTGGCCACCTCCCTCGACTTTGGCGCAGCGTTGAACCGCCGCTTGCCCGCGAGCTCGGCGCAGCTGCGGAGGAAGGCGTGCACTCCCGGGGGACGGGTAGCCGTACGTTTCCACCGCCATGGCGTGGAAGCCTACCCACGCGTTCCGCCGCGCGTACTTGTCCTCTTTCTAGGCGGCTTGCATCCTTGCAGCCCACCCAGGCGCCTTCCGCGCAAGCTCATCTTGGTGGGAGACCGGGTCCGTCACGGTGATGTCGCACATGTGAACCTCGCCGGTGTCGGGATGGCGGATGCAAACATCCGCTTTGAGGTTTTTCTACCGGAGAGTAAACTGTAGATTCCTTGTACAACCGTGTATCCTGCCTCTGCTGCGATCTTCGCACACTCATCTCGGAGGGCATGGTGAGTGGCAATCCTCCCCCCGCCTTTCTCACAGCGCATGAGGTGGTTGGGAAGGCGGTGGTCAGGGAAGGTCGTGCGGAAGCGGCAGTCGCAACGCCGTTGGTGCAGTCGGTGCTGGGCCTTCTCTCTCTCTCTCTCTCTCTCTCTCTCTCTCTCTCTCTCTCTCTCTCTCTCTCTCTCTCTCTCTCTCTCCCTCTCTCTCTCCCTCTCTCTCTCTCTCTCTCTCTCTCTCTCTCTCTCTCTCTCTCTCTCTCTCTCTCTCTCTCTCGAATGGTCCTTGCATTACTATGAGGGGTGGTACAAAGGAAGATGCAGAACACACAAGCACAACAAACATCCAAACCGAGATCCGAACTACCTCAAGTCTCCTACCTACTCAGCCCCCCCCCCTCTGTCCGACCCTACTGGTCGAACGGGGCCTCAATCAACTGGTGCAGCTGTCCCTCACTGAGAGGGATGATGGGTCCTCTAAAGCCGAGCTCGTCCGCCGCCAAGGCCTCGTTGGTCTTCGTGCGGAGGGCATGGTGAGTGGCAATCTCTCTCTCTCTCTCTCTCTCTCTCTCTCTCTCTCTCTCTCTCTCTCTCTCTCTCTCTCTCTCTCTCACTCTCTCCTCTCCTTGCCCCTTCGCTTCCATCCTATCCTCCTGTTCTCACCAGGTTTCGGCCCTTATCAGCTCTTCCTCGTGTGCTATACTGGCCTTGCATGGCTCGCTGATGCCATGGAGATGATTCTGCTCTCCTTCGTGGGACCAGCGGTGAGTGCAGGTCATGGTCATACATACTAGCTATATATTAATCAATTCGCCTTGCCTTGCCTGGCTCGCTGGCGCCATGCAGATGATTCTGCTCTTCTTTGTGCGGCCACCAGTGAGTGTGGTCTCATGTATTGCATTGCATTGCAGTGCTTGGTAGCTCTTTTTATGGTCAGGGAGGCAAGAACTTGATGCGGTCTGATCTGACTGACACGTGTTGGGTCTTACCTTGCTCGCTGAGCTGAATTATTGTGTCTTACCACTTTATTTACTGGTTACGTACCACCAGAACAGTGCCTTCTGTCCCTTTCACTGCCTCTTGAGGCGCCTCAAATTTCTGGCTCGCTGAACTGATTTAAGGCATCGTACCACTTTATTCACTTACTGGTCCACCTGCCTCCTGTCGTTTCCCCTGCCTTGCTTCTTCCCCTGCCTTGTTTTTTCTCTGCCTTGTCTCAACCAACGCAATCTCCCGTTCTCCCTGCCAGGCGCGGTGTGAGTTTGGACTTTCAGCAGCAGAGGAGAGCCTCATAGCGAGTGTGGTGTTCCTGGGTGTATTTTTGTAAGTGCCCTTTTTGTCGACCCCTTCATTAGCACAATCATCCAAGCAGGGGAGAAGAGCCTAACTGTCATTCCAGCGTGATGGTGTTCTGTTGCTTGATTCTCTATGTTATATTTTTCTCCTGTCAGGAAACACATCCTGTGCTCCCTTTAGATCAATTTCCCCTCCCTCCCTCCATACTCCCTTCCATCCTTCATGTGTCTGCCATACCAGGGGATCGCACATGTGGCAGCGCGTGACAGGTGCATGCAGAAAGAACAAAAAGAGTCTTCTCAACCTGTGCTCCCTTCAGCTCAATCTCCTCTCCCTCCCTCCATCTCACCTCCATCCGTCATGTGACAGGGGCTTGTACGTGTGGGGCCTCGTGGCAGATGCCTAGAGCAGAAGGAGAGGGTTCATCATGACACCGCTGCCCTCTTCAATCCATTCAACCACCTTGTGTGTCCCTTACCATCCATCTCCTTTTATCCATCTTTCACCTGCCAGGGGCTCCTACGTGTGGGGCCTCGTGGCAGATGCCTACAGCAGAAGGAGAGGGTTCACCATGACACCGCTGCCCTCTTCACAATCAGCCACCTCTCGTCTCTCTTGCTCCCATGCTCTCATCTTCTGTCTGTCCATATCAGGGGCTCCTACGTGTGGGGCCTCGTGGCAGATGCGTATGGAAGGAGGAGGGGGTTCATGGCCTCTGCTCTCTTCAACTCAATTGCCTCGTGTTTCTCTGCCTTTCCTTGTCTCTCATCTTCCTTTTCACTCATCTTGCATCCGCAATGCCAGGGGCTCCTACGTGTGGGGCCTCGTGGCAGATGCCTATGGAAGGAGGGGGTTCATGGCCTCTGCTCTCTCAAGTGAAACACCTCAATCCAACGGCATCTCGTCTCTCTTCCTCCCATGCTCTCATCTTCTGTCTGTCCATATCAGAGGCTCCTATGTCTGGGGCCTCGTGGCAGATGCCTACGGAAGGAGGAGGGGGTTCATGGCCACTGCTCTCTTCACTCTCTTCGCTGGCTTGCTCAGGTAATTTTTCAGGTCGGGTAGTTCCTCAGGTGTTTTTTCCGGGTGATTCTTCAGGTGAAAAGGTGGGCCAAATACTGATTCAGTTCATTATCTCTGCGTTTATAACTTTTAGGTCCGAGTCAGGCCCGAAGATTCTCGCATCAGGTCGCATTGGTTGTCTCCCATGCTATATCCTTGATCCATCCCTCTTTGTCCTTGTCCGAGTGCGACAGCCAATGCGACCTGACGTCTCCCATCCTATATCCTTGTGAGAAGGTTGTAACCTTCTCACATCAGGTCACTCACATTGGCTGTCTCCCAGCCCAGCCCACATCCATCCCTCTTTTTCCTCCCTGTAACCCCATCTCCTCCACCCCCTCATCGTTCTTATCCATCTCTTCTCCTCCATAACCTCACTATCCTCCCTCCACACACCCCACACCACACACACAGTGCGTGGTCACCCACCTTCCTCGCCCTCCTCATCTCTCACTGCCTTGTGGGGTTTGGCATCGGAGGGGCTTCTGTGCTACTCTCTCACTCAGTATTCTCCTCTCCTCTTCCCTCTTCCCTCCACCACACAGTGCGTGGTCGCCCCACCGTCCTCACTCTCCTCATCTCTCGCTGCCTTGTGGGGTTTGGCATCGGGGGGGGGGTGGTTGCCGAACATCCCCTCACCATCCCTCCCTTCCTTCCCCCACACCACACCACACAGTGCATGGTCCCCAACCTTCCTCACTCTCCTCGTCTCGCGCTGCCTCGTGGGGTTTGGCATCGGGGGGGCATCCGTGGTCTTTTCCCTCTGCTCCGAATTCCTTCCCTCCCACTGTCGGGGTTTCTGGCTCGTGTTTATCGAGTTCTTCTGGACGGTAAGTGACATGCTTAGTGCTGTTCCGTGGTAAGTGGCATTGGAGGGGCATCAGTGGTCTTTTCCCTCTGCTCCGAATTCCTTCCCTCCCACTGTCGGGGTTTCTGGCTCGTGTTTATCGAGTTCTTCTGGACGGTAAGTGACATGCTTAATGCTGTTCCATGGTAAGTGGCATTGGAGGGGCATCAGTGGTCTTTTCCCTCTGCTCCGAATTCCTTCCCTCCCACTGTCGGGGTTTCTGGCTCGTGTTTATCGAGTTCTTCTGGACGGTAAGTGACATGCTTAGTGCTACTTCAAGCAAAATCCTGGAACTTTTATGAGATTGCCTGAAAACGAATAACATGAAGGTACTCCTTGAGATTATAACGAAGGTAATAAAAATAATGAAATCTCCACGACGCATTACATTATGTCCGCACCTTCTTGTTTCAGGTATTTTTTCAAAAGCAGTCCTACCACCTTCCTGCATCTCACTCACTGTGCATAGTTCTCCCTCTGCCCCTTGCTTTACCTCCCCCATGCCTCTTGCCTCTCACCATGCCTCTTGCCTCTCACCATGCCTCTTGCCTCTCACCATACCTCTTGCCTCTCACCATGCCTCTCCCGCACCATGCTTCTTGCCTCTCCCGTGCCTCTCGCCTGTCTTTCCAGATTGGGTCGCTAATAGAGGCGGCGCTTGCTTGGGCAGTCATGCCGAGCCTACACTGGAGGTATGGAGATTTACCAAACCTGCTTCATATTTCTGGGAAGTACCGTTGGCCTGGTTTGAAAGTTACTGGAAAGGTCCCTGTCTAGCCCACGTAGTGATCTTCTCCTGTTCTACCATGGCTCCTGTTCTACCATGGCTCCTGTTCTACCATGGCTCCTGTTCTACCATGGCTCCTGTTCTACCATGGCTCCTGTTCTACCATGGCTCCTGTTCTACCATGGCTCCTGTTCTACCATGGCTCCTTACCATGGCTCCTCCTTCTGGCCCCACTCTGCCACTCCCTTCCCTTCCTTTCCCCCTCGCTGCCCCTCCCTGCACCTCTCTCCCCCTCCCTTACCCTCCCGGCCAATCCCATACCCCTCCCTACCCCTCCCTACCCCTCCTCTCCTCTTGCCTCCACCCCAGGGCCCTAGTGCTCCTCTCTGCTGCGCCCTTTGCTCTTCTGCTGCTGCTCTACCTTCCTTCCCCAGTCACAATACACCTTTCTCCTCTTGCTCCTCTCCCTCCCTTCCTCTCCTTTTTTCCCACCCTGTGTCTGTCTCGTCCTGTCTCCCTCCCTCCCTCCCTCTCGTCTTGCCTTCTCTCCCCTTCCCTTACCCTCCCTGCCCATCCCTTCCCCTCCATGCCCCTCCCACCTCTTGCCTCTCTTCCAGCGTTTTAGTGCTCCTCTCTTCAGCACCTTTGCTCTTCTGCTGCTGCTCTACCTTCCTTCCCGAGTCACAATACACATTTCTCCTCTCGCTCCTTCCCCCTTCCTCTCCTCTTTCCCCACACTGCCCCTCTCTCGTTTTTCCCTCCCTCCCTCCCTCCCTCCCTCCCTCCCTCCCTCCCTCCCTCCCTCCCTCCCTCTCCGTTTGCCTCCACCCCAGGATGCTAGTTCTCCTCTCTGCTACGCCCTTTGCGCTCCTGCTGCTGCTCTACCCTTTCCTTCCCGAATCGCCTCGGTTTCTCCTGGTCAGTAAAAGATATTGGTGGTGGGTTCGTGTTATGGGGTGGGTGGGTGGGTGGGTGGGTGGGTGAGTGAGTGAGTGAGTGTGTGGGTGGTGAGTGTGGGTGAGTGGGTCTGCAAGCTACACCGTGTGTCCACCACACCTGTTGCGCTCCTGCCTTTGTTTTACCCCAACTCAACCCAACCCAACCCAACCCAACCCACCTCAACCCAACCCAACCCAACCCAACCCAACTCAACCCAACCCAACCCAACCCAACCCAACCCGACCCAACCCAACCCAAACCCAACCCATCCCAACCCAATCCAACCCAACCCAAACCAACACCATCCTTCCCTTTCTCCTCTCGCCTTCTCTTCTCCTTTTGCCTTTGTTCTGTGCTCCTCTTCTCTTCCCCTATTTGTGTGAATTAAGAATTTTAGAAATGCACATAAATTTTCTTGCTCATTTTCCTCCATTCACTCAAATAGCGTGTCAGCAGCCCACCACTTTTCATATCCTTTCTCTCCCTTTTTTTTTCCTTCTCCTTCCTCCTTTCCACTTTTTTCCCACCCCTTCCTCCCGTTCTCTCCTCCCTTTACTCACATACCCTTGCCTTCTTACTCCTCCCCCATTCTCACCCCCTCATTCCTCCCCTCCCTCGATCTCCCCTCCCAACCCTCTCTCTTATCCTTGCTCTTCCCTTCCCAATCAGCTCAAAGGCAACACGTCAGCAGCACATACAGTCCTAGAAAAAGCCGCTCGAACCAACGGGAAGCGCCTGCCGCCTGGGCGGCTGGTTTCAGCCTCATCTGGTCCAAAGCTACTGGCTTCACCACACCCCTCCTCTCCTTCTCCCGCCCATGCCACCTCCTCGACTCCACCACCCTCCACTACTAAACACCGTTCCTCCCGCTCCTCCTCTCACTACCCTGTCTACTCCTCCTCCTCCTCCTCCTCATCCGTATCTCATTCCCGTTGCTCCTCCACCACCCCTCTCTCTCCGAACAACGTTTCCTTCAACTCAAATTTCGATGCCGGCCCTTCCCTGCCCTCTCAACCCTCTCCCTGCCGAATATCTGAAAGGGCAACACTCAAACACACATTTGAGGCGCCTCAAAGGACACCCCAAACGGCAACACTCCAACACACAGCACTTGAAAGCACGGTGCTCCAAAGAAAAGCGCCTCGAAGCACACGCACGTCTAGCCCCCCTTGTTCTTTGTCTTTCCCTTCCTCTTCCTCCTCCTCTTTCCCGCCTCTCCCATCACAACCAGTATCAGCTGAAAATACTGACAGAGAGCAAAGTAGTCAACACGATTCGCATTCCAAGGAGCAGCTGCAGCAGCATCCCCGCTCCCATCCCCATGCTCATCCCCATCCCCACCCACAGCACCATCACCACCACCAACATTTCCACTCACATCCCCACCTACCTCCTCCTCCCCATCCCTCCTCCTCTTCCTCCTCCCCTTCCTCCTCCTCTTTCCACAAGCTCACTAGCCTCCTTTTCCCCTCCCTCCTTCGCTCTACTCTGGTCGTCTGGCTGCTCTTTTTTGCCTCGGCCTTTTCCTACTATGGGCTCGTGTTGCTGACCACTCAGCTGTCCTCTCAGCCCACCATTCCACACTCCTCTCAACCCACCACTCAGCTGTCTTTTCAACCCACCACTCCGCACTCCTCTCAATCAGTAGGGGGAGCAGCATTAGATGCAGAATCAGCGGCAGCAGCAGCGGCGGCAACAGCAACAGTAGCAGGAGGAGGAGCAGTAGAAGCAGCAGCAGCGGGAGAAAATGCATCGTATTCCGCTGGCTCTTCCCCTGTTCCCTCTAGAGGCTTGCTCACTGAACAGTCTATTTCTGAGGAGTCTCAAGAGTCAACGCCTGTCCGTGGCTCTTCCCCTGTTCCCTCCAGAAGCTTGCTCACTAAACAGGACCATCCCATCCCTACAGTAGCGATCGCACTCCCTCCCCCTCCACCTCCTCCTCATCCTGCTCCTCTTCTCGGCCCTAGCACACCCAACCATCAACACTCTCTTCCCTCTCTTCGTCGTTCCTTGACTCTCTCTCAACAACAAGATAACTCCACCTCCACCACAGACGATTCCTCGGCCACTCACTCCCCTACCTCTTCCTCCACCTCGTCATCTTCCTTGTATTCCCATTCTCCCTCTTCCTCCTCTCTTTCCCCCTCTCCCTTACCTGGCTGCACACCTGAAAATCAACCTGAGATCTCCTCTCAGACCTATTCAGACGTTTTTGTTACTTCAGCTGCAGAGCTGCCCGGTCTTCTCATCGCTCTGATCGGGGTCGAGATTTTAGGTCGAAAGACCGTCCTCTGGGTTCTCCTCTGCTTAGCAGGGTTTTTTTTTGCTGCCTTTGATTCAGCCCTTGCCGCCCACTGCCACCACGATTTTCCTTTTTGCTGCCCGGGCAGCAATTATGGGGTCATTTGCGGTGCTCTGGGCATATACCCCGGAAATTTACCCGACCGAGATAAGATCTACAGGCCTCGGGTGGCAAACTCATGGGCAAGGTTGGGCGGCTTTCTTTGTCCGTTTGTGGCGGTCGGGCTGATCGAAGGAAATCACAGGGTAGGTCTGGTTGTATTCTTTTGTTTCTTTTTGTTTCGGTTGCTCTTTGTTTGTTGCGTGTGGTTACCAGCTTTGTCCCTTTTCTAACCGTGCGAGCCTGCACATGCACACACACACACACACACACATGTGTTTATGTGCATGTTTGCATGCACACTCTCTCCGCCCCTCCCCTCTCCCTCTCCCCCCCTCCCCCCACCCCCCCCCCCGCCCCCAGCACTTAGTTCGACAAAAATTGAATCTTGGAACCCATTGCGTGTGGTTTATGTGTGTGTTATTGGCAAAATCTATTGTTTGCTCTCCGTTTGCAACCTCTCCCATCCTTCCTGGTGTCCACTTTATTTCGTTGTCTTTTGAGGCGCCTCAGGACTCAGGAGGCCTCTTATGTGCTCTCTGCTTGTTTTCAATGCCTCCCCCACTACCATGTCTGCCTCTTGATTGGCTCATGTTCTATGCTGATGCTCGTCACCTGCGGGTTTCATGACATTTTTTTTACTGTGGCATCTCATATCTATTTGTATTTCCTCCTTTTTTGTTTTCTAATGCAGGAGTTGGCTATCCTCCTTTTTGTATTTGTTCCTGTTTTTGCTGCCCTCGTTACTGCATGCTTTGCATCAGAGACAAAGGTATGTTCATGCTTTCGAAAGAGTACTACCGAACTCACTGCATCAGAATTAATTTTGATGAATGGCCATCTTCCCTTTCATCCAATCATTTTTCATTGAACATGTTCTCTTACCTATTTCACCTTTGCTGTATGTAGGGGACTGCTCTTGGGGAGAAGGTATCTACCTTTCGACCCACCAGCCAATCACCGAGCAGCATGTCTCTTACCAGCCCCACTTTTTGTCAACCTGATGCAGCTCACAGCTGGTTTCAAGTGTTTGGGGACGACAGCTCGTGCAGTGACTCTGATTAACCCCTTATATTCTATCTCTTGTCATGTAATATATGTGCCAAAATGTATGCTTCCGAAATCACTGCATTTTTCTAAAATATGAAGTAAATTATCCCTCTTCACTAACCTAAAGGGAACTCTAAATGTATTTTTATTATAATGTATCCAGTAGACAGATTATAGTGTCTTTGTCACTACGTCTATTGAGATGAAATAATTCTTGTATCAGGTTTCTTAAAAAAAACACCCACTTGAGTTGCCCGTGCTATGAGGGAAGAAAATATCGCCACACAACGACAGCGTGGGATACGCAAGCAGCGGCACTTGGCTGTTCCAACGATCACCGCGTTGGCCTGGCTTGGGGAGCTTACTGTACAAAAATCCGCGCTGTCGATATACTGTCTTGCATGCAGATTGTGAACTCAACAGTTCCAGGACGGGCTGTCCATGCCTCTTTTGTGTGGCACCTCGTGATTCACAAACATGAACTGGGTGTGGGGTGTTTGTTTCTAACATTGGTTCGATTTACGAAATACAGTTTAGGATGACTTTGTAGTCCTGTTACTCCTTGCTTCTCAGTTTGTTGTGACCATCGTGTTAGACAACAGGATGGTTCCATTTCCTCCCGTAGCATCTCTGCTCCTAGGAGTTTTATGACTGCAAAAAGGCACTTCAAGTCTGGTGAGGCTGGTGAAATAAGTGTGCGGTTTCTGCGCTGAGTGGTATTCATCTTTTACCCTGATTCGGGCAGGTGGCGCGCAAGATGTCCCGGTACAGACACTGCATTTTGTGACTTAGCTGGGCGTGGGATGTCATGTCAGCAAGAATGCCTTCAGTTGTGCAAGTGCAATGCAGACGATCAGATCCTCAACTGCATGACGTCATTATCACGTGAAACACTGTGATTACTGGTTAAAATTGACCACGCACCTCGGAGCGAATAATCAGCAGCACCAAATCACAAGGGTCTGTATTGCACTGTACATTGTACACTGTGGAGATCGGTGCATCGTGTTAGGATATATCGTTCCTTCCGGCGTTCGTGTGAGTCATGCTGGAACAAGGAGGATGGCAGGCCTCTCAAACCACGCCGGACTTGTGACTGACTGCTGCTGATTGGCTCTTGCCTAGCAGCAGAGGGCAAGCAAGCGGCCATTATCTCCGATACTCAGATTTTGCCTGAGCGCGTTCTCAGGTGTAATCAACCTGGACTTTCTCAACGTTGATTGGTCGTCGCGTTT